TGAAAGCCAACTATGAACATAAAGGGCGAAACACTCCTGAGAGACTCTTCGTAACCTATTCAGTCGGTCAACTACTGACTAATAGATGAAGTTGAGCTCAGCCCTGTTATATGTCGTAGCCTGGCCCTGCTGGCGTAACTGACTATCCTGATAGGGCGTGTCCTATTATCACTAAGTGCTCAAATTATCATACAACTGAGACCAACAAGACTTGTACGTGCAAACGCGCAAACGTGCAAACGGTCAAATAATTAGAAGTGCGCAACATATTGGGTCTGAAAGAATGGTTGCAATGGCATTGATAAGTCACTCAATGCAAAAAGATAGTTTACTATTATGATGAGGAGTAGAATAACACAGTGTCACACTAAGTATCAGTGGTTGAAAAAGGGACTTTTCTTTCTCTATACGTTCACCGATAGATTGCGTTAAACAGTTTGCTGTCGGAGATCAATCCACCTCGAGCAAGCATACAGAAACTCATACACTGTTCTGTTTCAACATCTGAAGCCACTTCGCCTCTACCTCTGGAGTAATGCCTTGGGGGTAAACCTGAAGCGGTGCTCGAGGCTTCAAGGGATCAGGATAGTTTACTGGAGGACTCGTCAATGACTACACTATAGAACGACCCTCGAGCCTAACAGCTTACGCATGCTGAGATGCTGGTCTACCAGCTTAGAGCGCAACGTCTGAGTTTCTTCTGCATTTCTCTTCGCGCTTGTGTTGGCGGCTTGGTCGGCCATTTCTTGTTGAGGGATGGGTGACGAACGTAATCCGCCAGCCATTGGAGCGGTCAATAGGGGATATCTGATGGATGAGAATAGATCTCGGTCACAAGATCACGGCTAATCGATGCCAGTGAAGGGCATAAAGGAAGACCTCTAACAATGGCTCCAAGTAGGTAGGTTTGTATTTGGGGAAATGGGAACAAGACAAGAACTTGGTTTTCAGTGTTACGTGTACGGGCTACAAGACAATTCGATCAAATGCAACAGCATTTCAAGGTTAACAGCCCGCCTATGCCTGTTAATACCCCACCTCACCAACATGGATGGCAAGCACCCCGCACTCGTCCTATAAAGTATGAAATCTACAAGCACTAAACAATTGGTTGTGAAGAGAAACGAGCTTTGTGACTTGCAATTACAACAAAATATGCATACAGACAATTTTTATGTATTTCTCTGTTTGTCTTGGTATCCCTGCTTTAAGCTAAACTACGTGCCGAGACTCGGGGCCTTGAGCAGAAAACGCCTAAATAAAAAACCTTAGACAATGCAGGTGCCTGACGTCGTGAATCCATTTCAAGCCAGCTCAGCTCAGCTTTTGGGCCTAACTCAACCAAAAACCCACCAGCATTGCCCGTCCAGGCCGTCCTTTTCTTTCTTTTCCAATCTACTAACCCAACCGAACAGACATTAATTATTGGCTGAACCTCCTCAACTCCATGCCCAACTTCACGATCTCCAACAACACTGTCAAGCATCTTTTCCCCCGACGAAGACGACGGCGTTGACATATACACGATAAGCAAGATTGATCCTTGCACAAGAAAAAGCTCTTCGCCATGGGCAAGAATACCGCAGTGATCCCTGACGCCTGGGAGGATGATTGGGAGGCTCAGGCAGACAAGATGGCCAGCGAACCCGAACAGCCGACACAGCCATTGCCTTTGTCCAAATCCGAGCGCCTGGCGCAGCACGCTGAGCAGAATCGCAAGTTGTGGGAATCTGCGTAAGCCCTTCCACCTCAGCAACATGTTTAGGTGTCACTAACATTAAGGATCCCTTGCAACAGCGACACACCACAAACATTCCACTACATCGAGGCTGGTTCAAACTCGGGAGTTCCTCTCACAACCCCGTTCAAACCACAAGTCAAAGTGCTTAGCCGAAAGCCCATCATCGCCAAGCGAGATGCTACAGGAGGGATGTCCAGCCTTTCATTAGATGACGATAATGACACAAAGAAGGAGGTGCCGATGAGCCCAGAAGAAGTGCGAGCAAAGCAGAAGCGAGACAGAGAAGAAAAGCAACGTCGATACGAAGAAGCCAGAGCCAAGATCTTTGGAGAATCAACCCCATCCTCAGGAGCCTCATCACCTGGCACAGTCACCCCGCCCAAAGTAGATGGATACGCTGGTCGCGGCCGTGGCCGAGGAAGGGGCGGTTACAGGAATAACGACACGCGACAGATCGACAACCGTCAGCCTGAAAATCGTGCGTTTGATGCCCCAAGAAGAATGCAGAACATGTCAGGCTCGGGGCGCGAACTATTCGACCCCAACTTCAGCCCAAAACCCGAACATGCTCCTCAAAGACGCCAGTCAGATTATCCATCCCCTGGTAGGAGTGCAACTCCTCGAGATGAGCAGCAGCAGCAACAATTGCAACCACGGGCACCAATTCGATCACCAAAAGGACCAGACGGAAGTGGCCGAGGAGGATTCGGGTTCGCTCATCGAGGCAACAGGGGCAGTTGATTATTTCTATCGACATGCTTTGCTTCTACCATCCACCTCCAATCTTTCCGGCTAGCTGCACCACGGTCTCATCCGTCGTTTTGTCCTTTCCAACATCACTAATAACTTCACGATATGTTGTAAACGCCAGTCTGTCTAACCCAATGCCTGTAACTTCCGCCCAATGCGCCAGGGTATCGTTTATATATGAGTGGGAAATGCCACCAACAGTCTCGGCAGTCCCAACAACGGAATCTTCAGTGCCCACCTCGTCTTCAGAGAAATATGCCTCATCAACCTCTGATAACCACATCTTTTGCTCTTGGGGGCCTGGATTTCCGGAGTAATTCTTTCTTTCCATGACAACAGGGTCATCAACTTTTATTTGACCGCCGCCATTTGTACAGCCGCCAGGGCATGCCATGACTTCGACATAACTATACTCCAGAGAAGCAGCCTTACCTGCAGGCTTCCGAGCACTTCCAAAAGGTTTGCCACCAGGCATTCGAGACGGCCTGGCCGGCTTTAGTCTTCGAACAAGATTTTGGATGTTTCTGAAGCCATAATATCGGGCAGCACGGAAGACTGGCTCGCCATTCACCAATACTGAGTACTCAGCAACATCAACGTTACGGCCGCGTGTATGCACAATCTCTGCGCCAGGACTCTGTGCCACCCGGCTCTTGAGGATATGATATAGAAGACCCCCTGAAGTGCCAGCCTCGCGAGGTGAATTTCCTGCCCGTGTACGGGGGAAAAGAAACTCGTGGAGCTTTGGATCAGGGAATGGGGTTAGATATTTGCTCTGCAGCGGTGTCTTGGGGAGATTGAAGAAGCTGAGACCTCTTGACTCGGCGAGCATGAGAATCTCCTTACTTGTAATGACACAGTCAACGTCGCGAACCCCACGTCCCCCGGTATCCCCTTCAGCCCAAACTTCCTCAGTCAACTCCTCTCTACTTGCCTCCAGTTTCTTGTCAAAGCAGGGCATAACAGCCAGATGCCAGATGCGGCCAGGTGCAATACCCAGCTTTCGGCTCAGTGTCGTCTTTAGTAATGTGCCCATTAGGGCCTGTGGTGACTTCACCTTTGAAATATGGGGTAGAACGTGCGGGTGTGTCTTTTCCGCATAGCACACCCAACCGGGGCAGGACGAGGATAATATGGGTTTGGCTGGGGTTGCGGTTCCGGTCTGAGAGGTGCCAAGAACTTCATCTGCTCCAAGAACGAGGGCTGCCTTTCTGGCAGTATTGGTATCAACCACCCATGTGAACTCGTTATTGTATTTGCCGCCACTAGCGATTCCAGAGGGACCACGAAAAAGGTTGTCCAGCATGTGCCCGGCGTCGCCTTCTGATACACCTCCGCCACATGCTGCCGCTAAGTTGGCCCTTGTTTGAGGGCTCACGCTGACAACAAAGAGCTTTGCGTTCTCCTCCTCGAGCCCTTCCACTCTGAACTTGCCACTATCGTCTGTCACCAACTTCAGGGCTGGGGCTGAATCAAGAGTTGCAAGGACTTCGGCATGGCTCTGGAGGCTCACTAAGACAGCCTCGGCAGATGTAACACATCCAGAGCAGGCTAGACAGTCTGTGAGGGAGATCTGAGCAGGCGCATTCGGATTCGTAGCGGGCTGTTGGCCATCAAGTATAACTTCGGTCTCGAGAGATTGCGGGGGCGGGGCAGCGGGGAGAGTCTCGACGGGCTTGATGCAAGCGACACCAGGCGAGATGAAGTCGTTGAGGTCGTCGGCAGAGAGAATGGCACTCATAGCGCCGGTTATTTGAGGAGATTGTATGAGGTAGAGGAGGAGGATGCCCTTGTTGGAAGTGTGAGAACCTATCGATGGTAGGATATTCTTGTTGAAGTGGGAGTTGCCTCTCGGGAATTTTTAACTGGAGACTTGGACGTAATTATGACTGGAGCAAACTAGCTGACAAATAAACCTGCAGTCTTTTCCTCAAGATTTGCAGCAATGGAAGATTAAAGAGAGGGAAAACTGCTATCAGAACAAAAGGGGTCTCAAATTCAATCCAGAGATAAGGTATGAAATGTTTCTGATAGTCACTTAATCCCGGGTTGACTTACACATGGGCCTGGTTTTGTATAACTCCTCGGAGGACCGGACACGGCGAAGACGGCGCATCAGGCCGTGCTAAAGTAATAGATAGGCAATAAAAACGTTGCGATTTGCAATGGTGATTTTTAGACCCTCCACAGCCTGGGCCTTTGGCGGGATAGTGGACAGCGAGATCGGACCAGACAGAAGCGGCTCTATATTTTGGTGACGAACCATTCAAGACACCCAGCCTCTCGGTTCGGGAGTGTGGGGTTCCACGATGGAAGGCAAGCCGCATGCGATGGGGGCACACATACCTTGTTGATGGTGACGTCGATGCTTGGACTAAGCCTCTCACCTCTAGACGTTGATCGCTTCACCTTCAGCTTCAACCTGCATCCTCAATTATAGCTTCACCTTGACCAGATCGTAACTTTGCCTTTTGCTATCCTCGTTCAAACTCTATACACAATTCGAACAATGAGCGTATGCGCTTTCACTATCATGCTCTCAATTCACCGACTGACAATTCCCAGGCCATTGCTTCATACACCTATGGTAACTTTCTCTGGTTGAGCACTCAAGCTCTTCCTCTTATTGTCTGGCCATCCTTTGTCGGGTCTCTTCTTCGGCCTGACAATGAGACATGCACCAGTTAGGCTCTCCTACAGCTCCTCGTATCGTGTCGGCTGCCAACTAACTCTCTAGCTTTGGAAACGTACTTTGCACGCTCTTTAGGGCTTGCTCTTCTTGCGCTCAGCCTTACCGTAGTGGTTCTCTCAGGCGTTCTTCCTCTCGATTCTTCTTCCAAAGGTAGCAAACACCTCCCTTTTAGAGTCGCATTCGTCTAACTCCCGATGACAGAGGCCCCCGAAGGCGCACCGTCTCCCTACGCTTCTGCTGCGGTCCTCATATCCACCCTCCACCACGCTTCGAGCGCCTTTTACTGCTACGGTCGCTATTCCTGGACTGGAGAGACGGGATTCCTACTTGGCTGTGTAGGTAGTGCTGTCTTTGCGACCTTTGGATTGTACTGTGTGTTGTTTGCTGGTGACACAGCCATGACAAGCCGGTACCACAAGTTTGACCAGAGCACGAGCGGATTCCCTTTCAAGAACTCTCAGTCGTATCGGGCCAAGAAGAAGGCTCTATAAGAACATGCAACATGGGCATATATGTATGTACAATGCTTCGATTAAACCATGACTTAGTCAGCTGCATTGGGAATTTAGAACCCGTGTATTGTAAGCTCCCAGTTTCCTCATAACCCAACTCCATCAACTCCCTTCCGTGAAATATTTTTGTGGTGCAAATTTCTATGGTGCAAAGTGTGCAGTTATAGGTATAGCTGCCTCGCATAAGGTATCCGGCGATGGATGAGCGGATTTTGTCGACGTATTAAGATATTCCCCTTCGTGAAAGATCTCCCTAAGCAGTGAGCTCTGCCACCTTTGTCCCGTTGGCGGTTCCCTCGGTCTCAGCGTTCGCACCGTTTGTTCTCCCGCCTTCGACACTCTCTACGGCGCCAGGAACGTGAACATCGACAACCCCTGTAAGAATAGCCTGTCGTCGCTCATGCCAATTAACCTCGCTCTTGATGACCTGCGAAAGCAGCACCTCCTTCTCGAGCCACTCCTTGTAGTAGATTTCCTCCCACTCTTTGCACTCTTTCGTCAGAGACTCTCCAATCTCCTCGGCCCATTTGCCCTCCCAATGGCACTTTCGGTACAACTTGTCGACAGGAAGCTCAAGCTCATCATGGGTGAAGAGATCTGGCGTCAATGGTGTAAAGTACTCGGCGTTAGATTCGTCGCCGTTGGCAGCATCGTCCATGTCATCATGGGGGCCTTGCGATTGTTGGTTGGTCTTCATGATGATTTTTATCTTGCCCCCCTTGCCCTGTGGTCCAGCTTGCATTGACTTGGGAACAGGGTCAGATGGACGGAGTGCTTCTGTCTCGTGAACCGTGCGCATATGTTTGGCCAGTGCATCACTTCTCGTGAAAGACCTATCGCATTCTGCAGCGAGTTAGTATGTTACGCAAAGGAAAATCCGCGGAGGTGATTATACCAGGTAAGTAGCAGTAAAAAGGCTTCTCCCTTGTATGGCTGCGCATGTGTGCCTTGAGGGCATAACCACTGGCATGTGGTAGGCCCTTTCGAGTACAGCTCATCCATTCACAGGTGTACTTCTTCTGTCGGTTCTCAATATGCGAATTATGGATGTGTTCAACCAGCTTGTCCATGTTGCCCTGGTCGCCGGCTGGACAACCATCCCAGTCGCATTTGGTGACTTGTTCCTGGAAGTCTTCTTCGTCGAGGCGCGCATTGATCGGGGAACTGGGGATGTCGCCTGAGGTATCCGATGACACATCGGACATGCCCTCGAGGGGATCGGGCTCAGGCACCGCTTCGGCTTCGACATCAGGAACTACAGCAGAAGATGTAGTTGAACCGGCTTCGAGTCGCTGGCGCTTCGAGGGCCGCAGTGTTGATTCATCGTAATCGTGGCCTTCCTCTTCGTATTGGTCTGACTCGTCCACCGATGAGAGCGGCGACTCGGGTGGTGAGTAGTCGCGCACCATTGTTCGCGACCAGGATGCTCAGGCGCGTCTCGTATCGATGAAGCTGAGAGTGACTGCGCGGGGTTAATGGTTATTGATGATATTTGAATAGCGGAGAAGTCTAGCGAGCTGCTGGTTGATGATTGAGATACAGAAACTACTGCGAGTATCTTTGATAAGCGGGCTGATGATTATCTAAAAAATGCGAGAACCTAGATTACTCGTTCTTCAAAAACGCCAGTTGGGAGCTTAGGGGCACAGTGTTAATAAGTTCAGACAAGGGAGCAATAACACCACGCCACACATAACAACTTGGCCATTACAGTGTGCGCGTCAGGCAGGGACAGTGTGTGATACACTCCAGTAAAGAAATGACTGATGTACACAATGGAAACCGGGCTATTCTATGATAAATAACCTCATATCTTCTTATTGTGTGTTACTTTCCAGATTTCGCCCTTTTGCCTTGTGCCTTTCATCTTTTATCTATCCTTTGAATCAAGATTCCATTAACTCCAAGCCTTGAATCAAATACGCGAGCCATTGCAACAATATACAACCCCAATCCCAACGAGAAAATTGTTCTGGATCGAGCGCTAAACGTATTACATGCCCATAATGTGGTATAAATCAGAATTTAGGCACCGTTTGAGAGCTTTCGGCGGGCCTTCACGGCCTGCGCAAGAGTCTCGAGTGTAGAGACAGTGTCTTCCCAGCTGATACAAGCATCGGTGATGCTTACACCATACTTGAGTCCCGATTTACCCTCAGCGGGTACCTTTTGGTTACCTTCGATGAGTTAGCTGAGGCCGATTCTGTTAACGATGATCATGACTTACCCTCGTTGATGTTACTCTCAATCATGACTCCCATGATGCCCTCCTCTCCCCTGGAGATCTGGCCTGCAATATCGGCAGCAACCTTGGGCTGGTTCTTGTGATCTTTGGAGGAGTTACCGTGACTACAATCGACCATGACTCGCTGTCGCACGCCCTTCTTCTTGAGCGCCTCCTTGGCAGCAGCAATGCTCTCAGCATCGAAATTGGTACCCTTGGAGCCACCGCGAAGGATGACGAAGCAATCATTGTTGCCCTCAGTACCAACAATGGCGACAACACCGGGCTTGGTAACAGATAGGAAGTGGTGGGGGTGCTGGGCTGCACCAATGGCATCAATGGCGACGTTCAAAGAACCATCAGTTCCGTTCTTGAAGCCCACGGGGAAACTCAGACCACTGGCAAGCTCACGGTGAAGCTGGCTCTCGGTCGTGCGGGCGCCTATGGCACCCACTGAGAGCAGATCGGCGAGGAACTGGGGAGAAATAGTGTCCAGCATTTCACTAGCAATGGGCATACCCTTGGCTGTAAGGTCGACAAAGAGTTGGCGAGAGATTCGCAGACCCTTGTTGATCTGGAAGCTGCCATCAATATCAGGATCATTGATCAGCCCCTTCCAGCCAACAGTTGTGCGTGGCTTCTCGAGGTAAGATCGCATGACGATGAGAAGCTCATCCTTGTGCTTCTCCTTCTCTTTCAAGAGGAGGTCGCAGTAGGCTAGGGCGGCAGCAGGGTCGTGGATGGAACAGGGACCAATGACGACAAGCAATCGGTTCTTCTCGTCGGTGCCATTAACAACAGCTACAGTCTCATTGCGACCTTGCAGAACGGTTTTCTTGGACTCGGGAGTTTGGGAGATCTCGTGTTGAAGGAGGTCGGGGGGAGTCAGAGGGTTGTAACCGCGAACTAGAAATAATTAATATATGCGCTGGAAGGACGAGCTGGTTAAGCCAGAGCTATTGGCAGATGCTTACTTCTCCAATCTTCCGAGTCGGCTTGGTTGCCAACGTTCTTGTTGGGGATGAAGAACTGAGGTCACCGTCAGTCACCCCTCACACTGAAAGCAGAGAGCAGAGAGCTCGAAGAGGTGGACTTACAGAAGACATGGTGACGGCGATGGTGGGGTCAGAGGGTATACAAGTCAGAGTGGGATGTTAAGAGAAGAGAGGAACTCAATTGCGCGAATCTGGGGATACCGCAGAAAGGGGCATGTGATGAGAAGAGCTAAGTGTGGAAAAGTAAGAATAACATCAAGTCGTCTTGACAAGGGCCAAAAATTATGGTTTTATGTGGTTTCCAGACCCTGACCTGTCTCTTTCTTCCTTCACTTTCCCTTTGCGCCGGCCTCGGTGTGTCACACTCAAGAGAGTCACTCCACGCCTTTCAGGTTCGATTATCCCGCCACTGATTGGATGAAATGAACCTTGCCCCGCCCTCTAGCTGGCCGGTTTAGCAACGATCCCTAGAGGTACAGGGCGGAAACGTGCAATCCTGGCAGAGGATCAAGTACCCATTGTCTAAGCGGACGGGAAGGAAGCTCCAGATTTTTAGCTTGAGTCACCTTGAGTGAAGAGATAAAAATGGTGAATGGCCACTACTTGCCACTTTGGCTGGTGGGTTTTTGCACTAATTAAAGTCAGATATTTAGGCGCAGCCGTTGGGCTGAACCCTTTATTATGTCGTTGATCTTGCGGGATATCGAACTGGCCGATTGAATGAAATGAATGTTAAGGCGAATATATCAGATTAGGTGTTTATCGGCTGGGCTGGACTTACTTAAGTTATGCAAAACCATGTTTAATATGATTTCTGTGTGCTCCCTCCTACTCCTACATCAACAGAGCTTTCGTGCATGCATTTAGCTTCCATTCTCATTGGCTCCATGTCATTCGTGACTGTTGGCTTTTTATTATTGTTCTGGAAGGGGCACCCCCGCGTTGTATTTCAGTATTGAGGCCGTCAGATATATCTGATCCAGCTTCTTGGAGGGGAAAGTTTTTTCTGCAGACAGCTTCAACTGAGATAGACTGAATGAATAGGGAAAGCAGTATCTTATGGAGTGAGTGGCAGCTTCTCGGGACAGGTTTTCTCCTCCACATGTGGCTGAATCGAATGACAGCAGAACCAGGTAAGCTCGGTTGTGCAAGCTTCAGTCAATTGAAAAGGAAACAGAATATCGAATTGAGTAACATAATAATTACAAAATGGCCTTTTTTTAAAATAAAATAAAAATAAAATAAAAAAGATATAATCATTTGCACTTATTGATAGCTGCACTTGGTACAGTTTTATCTTACAGTTTTCTATCCTTGTTCCTTTAGATGATATTAGACATATGGTATTACTCCTTGTTTAGGACTTCTGTTCTTTCTTCTCATTCCCAACCTTGTTTTATCTAGGCTGGCGGAGCATACCAAGATAGAACGACAGGGAAGGGAAGATAACTAACATGGCAGAGCAGGCCAGGTGCTGTAAAGCGTAAGGGGAACAGTAGCAATAAGAGGAAGAAGACTGGTATGTTAGTAGCAGGTAAGGCTACAAGGGATAAAGAGGAAGACGAGGAAGACGAGGAAGAAGAAGAAGACGGAGCTTGAGGTAGTTTTAATATTGGATATAGGAGGGATTGCACTTTCTGTATCTTTATATAATAGAGACTAGTTCTTGCCAGGAGGATGACTCTGGTTATAAGAAAGGAAGGAGAGTTCTTAGTAGAAAGAGATTAAGGTAACTTAGTAATTCTATCCTTCCTCTTGTTACCATAACACCGGACTACTTGGCGGCGTTCGACCTATGTAATGGAGTTCGACGTCACGGAGAGGGCTCTTGGTGTTTACATGTCCTCACGGGCTCAGCATGTCAGAAGTCAGCTAGTCCTATCGGATGGCGAATTGGGTGTTTCCGATGCTGCAGCTCGTGCCCGGTCATCAGTATTACTATATGATATCAATATTAAGCACCTTGATATCCTCCTCGGGTTTCTCCTTGTGCGTCCGCACATTCTCAATTTTGTGGATGATGTCAAATCCCTGGGTAGCACGACCAAAGATGGTGTGCTTTCCATCTAGCCATGGCTATTCAATATCAGTGCATGCTCATCATTAAGAGACAGGGAGCAAACTTACCGTCTTCTCTGTTGTGATAAAGAACTGACTGGCGTTCGTGTTAGGCCCTGCATTGGCCATGCTGACCGTGTATGGCTTATCGTGTTTGAGGCTGCTAAACTCGTCTTCAAATTCGCGGCCCCAGATGCTCTCACCTCCAGTACCATCACCTAGAGGATCACCACCCTGGATCATGAACTTGCGGATGACACGGTGGAAGATTGTGTTGTTGTAGTAGCCATTCTTAGAATGCGTGACAAAGTTCTCAACGGTCTTTGGTGCTGCGTCAGGGAATAGGCGGATGTGAATGTCTCCATATGTAGTGTGAATAACGGCTCCGGTGCCCGTTTCGGTTTTCTTCGCTTGTGCGTCCTTCTTGTTACCCAGCACCATCGGTTTTTCGTTTTGTACATCTCGTGTCGACTTGGAGATGTCTTCCTCATTTGAGAACATGTAAAACCGCACCTTACCAACACCAGTAGCAACCAGGATTGGATCTCGGGTCTCTGCTTCCTGTAAAAGAGGATTACTGGAAGCACCCATTTCCACTGTTGTCACTCCCTTCTTCTGTGGTGCCCCTTGGTATATGGCAATATTGACGGCGCGAAAGTTCTCATCCTTGCCATACACCTTGACCACTTGGTTGGTATATGTATTGAGGACCTTGATTCCCAGCATGGAGCCGTAGATAATAAAGTTCCCTGATTCGTCGAAGATGACATTGGACTTGTACTTGAGCGTCTGCGATTCGATGTCTCTCTCGTGAGCTGTCCTACGTCCAAACTCAACATTGTCAAGTTTGGCAGCTCCCGCCCCTGAACGGTGCATCTCTTCAGCAACCTGCAAAGATTCGTCATACTCGCGATGTAATTTGGCTGTTGCAAAGTCAAAGATGCGTATTTTCCTATCTGGCAAAGAAAATGCTACCAAACTTTTGCCGTTGGGAGATATGGAGAGGCATGAGGGCACCGACTTGGCCTTTTTGAAATCAAAAAGGTTGGTTGAACTCTTGTACTCAAAAACTCCTTCTGGCTTTTCGTAGTTGCCGCTCGGTCGCCAATATTCGAGCATGCCACCCTCGTCAGCCGACACCACACAGTCGTATGCCTCGTTGAAAGCCATTAGATGTACAGGCTTTCTATGCAAGCCCTTGAGAGTGTGGATAGGCTCCTCCTTCTCGCCTCGTCCGTCGTAGATATGAATCAGGGGTTTCGTTTCCTCGGATACAGCCAGGAGTGGCAGCGAGGCGCCCTTGCTATGGACCCAGCATACACAATTGGGAGCGTAATTAAGAGAGATCATGGATAGTAGGTCAAAGGTGATAACGTCAAAAATCTTGACTGTTTCGTCGACACCGGCGGTCGCGAAGCTCCGCCCGTCCTTGCTCACGGAAACCGCCTTAATCTCGCCATCGTGCGCCTTGAACTCCTTGACAAACTCAATACCTTGAGCAATCTTCTTCCAGAACTTGACGACACCATCGATCGAGGACGTGATGAGGAATTCGGTCAGGGGAGTCCATGTCGCAAAGAGGATCTGTTCCTTGTGCATCAGGGACTTTGAGTAATGGGCCGACTTGGGCAAAGCCGCGACGTAAAGTTTTTCGTGGGGTAGGACTCGTCGCTTCTTCTTAGGGGCTTGTGAGGGCAGTTGAGGGCCCATTTCATCGTCGGAGGAGCTGTCTGGACGACTTTTTGTTAGCATCGTTAACCACAACGCGATAGGGGATTGCCCTACCGGACGCATCGTCACGAAACTCGGAATGGTTGCGCTTCTGTGAGCGATTGTCATCATCTGAGGCCATCTCGGTTACCGGCCTGCTCCAGAAACGTAAAATCGTTGTTTCTGTGTTAAGATGCGTGCAGTTTTCCTTGATGTATACACTTTGCGACAGGCCCAGATTGTTGTCAAGGCAATTTCAGCCTCAAGTGGCACGACCTTGAATTGTGGCTTCTCTAGGCCCACCACTAGATACAAGCGCCAATAAGGTAAGATCCACATTGAGGTCATGACATCTATTAAACGGGATCCCATGAGGTCCGAGACCCCGGCTCCGAAGACGGGTCAAATCAGGTTCGTTTCCTTGCTTTGTTATATCATGTGAAATATCCGTAGTACCAGTACATTCGAATTCGAACGTTCCTAATCTTCCACTTCTATTCTCTGTTCTATTTCATAGAATTCTTCTTCTCGCCTTCGATTTGTACATTCTACCTGAATAACTCTGGACCACGGCCATGATGGCACCTCGTCACCCCCTTCAACGACTTACGTCGCCCTCACGAAATGTTTCGCTATTGCTTCATGTTATCGGAATAGCCTCTTTCAGTTACAACTTTCACTTTCTCACAGTCTGGGATACACCTATAGCCAGGTCTTATGGATGGCACATGCAGTTCCTTACCATTATTGGCCTTTCAGCATCACTCATTGCCTTTGTTCTCGGGGCATTGGCTGATATTACCCTGAGCCAAACACTCTTCCAGGCCAAGAATGCGGTTGCTGTTCTTGCTACGCCCTTGGAAGTTGTCATCTCAATCTTGTATTGGGGACTGAGGCTCATTGATCCCAAGCTGCTCATGCCTGATGACTTCTATCTGCACATCGTCCCTGATATGGGATTCCACCTTGCGCCTGCTGTACTCCTGAGTCTGGATCTCGTCCTTCTTAGCCCTCCTTGGACCATCCCAGCTTACGGTATAATGGCAATCAGCACTGTCATTGCCTTTGCCTATTGGTATTGGGTTGAGCTCTGCTTTAGCCACAATGGATGGTAAGTTGTTCTTGACTTCTTGGTGAGTGTGAGTCAGCAGATCGTTTAACACTGACAGGTACCCATATCCACTGTTCGAACTTCTTTCCACGACCCAGCGAGTAATGCTGTTCACATTTTCAGCTGGGCTAGTCACAGTCTCTTCCTCGTTCCTCAAGTGGGTGTATGGCCGAGTAAATGGGTACGAAAATGCAGAAAGGGAGGCACATAAGCCTCTCAAGAAGTTTCAGTGATCATCTCAGACAGATTGAGTCAAATGTAGAACATGTAGAAGTGCAAAGATAGGGTGATGGTTTGAAGGATAGAGGTGATAGGCATTGCTTGGTGTGAGATCAACCACTGAGACATAGAAGGCCAACAACTCTTGCACATATCCATGAGGAATAAAATTTGAGAGATCTCGATATAGGCATCCTTCTTTTAGTGTCAACATTCACGAATAATTGCTGCTGAAAAGAACGTCAAGACTCGGATGCCAAATGGCAAGGACGCCAATTAGTATTACAGTGAGTGGCCCCGCTCCCGCAGAAACCTCCCTCCATTCCACTTCAGCCTCACAAACACACTCCACCGTATAGTCTCAACCCTGACGATCAACCTGAAGAGGAAAATACAACACGTAAACCAACTGTGCCACAGAACTTTCTATAGCCTTTCTACCTCATGATCTGAGTACTGTTTATCCTCTGAAATGGATATCGATGACATTCTTCGCCAAGTCGACCCCACGTCTCACAGAATCCCCAGCGAAACACGCGATCTGCAAGCTTTGACGCGTCTCTGGGTTGCTGAGCGCTCAGCACCTGAGCTTCTCGAGTAGGCCTCATGTGCTCCTCTTCCTGCTTCCTAGTACTCACAACGTCTGTATAGATGGCCGACAGATGGCTTGTTCGAGCGCGTCAATGCACGCATCAAATCCCAGATCGAAAAGGTTGAGGATATGACGGGTGATATGGATCCAAAGACAAACTTTGCCCTCATCGTTATTCAGACTGAGCTCGAGAGGTACAAATTCCTTGTTCGAAGTTTTCTTCGGGCTCGTATAGCAAAGGTAAGTGTCCTTGATCTCATTGACCTACACAAAATTGACTCTCCTTAGATCGATAAACACACTCTCCATTACCTCTCAATCCAAGAACTGAGAGATAGGATGTCTCCAACAGAAGCAGCCTATGCGACAAGACATCAGGCTCTCCTCCACAATCACTATCTCTCATCCTTCCTCGGATCTTTTCCGCAGCAGCTACAGAACCTCAACGACACTGCAGGCAACATCAGCATGATCGATTCACCAGATCTAGATATGGCTGTCTTTGTCCGCATGCTAAGAGACAAGGACGTCTATGGTAAAGGAACTGACGGCGATATCACTCTCCCTGCCAAGAATGGCGATGTGCTCATATTACGATGGTCAAGTGCAAAGCATATGGTTGATGTTGGTGATGCTGAACTTGTCTGATGTGCTTGCTAGGGCGAAGCTCGAACCAGGTAGGCTACGATACATCATGCTTATTCTGTACATCCAAGACGGTCCAGCTTGTGCGCACTCATTACCGCCCTGGCTCGCGACCCACAAGCATCGACTTGTTGGCATTCGCATTCGCATTCATTTCTTACGCATAAGCGTGATGCAATGTTATTTGACTGGGGCATCGGGCAAGTCAGAAGTGTCATCAGAATGCTTAGCCTCTGCTTGGCATTATCAAGGCTGGAAACCCTTATCATGCCACTGACTCAACCTCAATCCCAAAAGGGTAATCAATCTCAGAGTGGCCTCAAGCTCCCAGTCCAACCACGGATTTAGGGTTCAACGACACTCAATATCGGAGATACAGATGAAAGTCTCCAACATGACGACAACCACATTTTTTGTGTCTCATCAGAATCTATCCTAGATATAAAGAGCAAGAAGTGCTGCGAGAAAACAGTTTGCTCAGATCATCACCATACTCAACGGGACATTACTTACTATCACCACACATAACCGAAAAGACAAGATCATGTCTCTCCCTACCATCAACCCCAATACCACAATCGCCCTCGTCACTGGTGCCAATCAGGGTATCGGCTTCGAAATTGTTAAGAAGCTCGCGAGCGAGAACAATGACTACCACGTCATTGTCTCTGGCCGCCGTTTACAAGCGGTTCAAGAGGCGAGCACCTTGCTACAAGCTCAGGGGCTTAACGTCTCACCTCTCATACTGGACATCACATCAGATGATAGCATCGCCGCTGCGGTCGAGGCTATCCGTGATAAATTTGGTCGTCTTGACATCCTTGTCAACAACAGCGCTATCTCGGGCTACGGTATGGCCGTGTCTCCGCGAGAACTTATGATGGCCGTCTATAACACCAATTGCATCGGAACCGCCCTCGTCACTGACTCTTTTATCCCCCTCCTCGAGCGCTCTACCAAGACCCGCCGTATTGTCTTTGTTTCTACCGCCTTGGGCAGTTTAACACTGAAGGCCGATCCTACGCATCCAATGCATAGCTTCGATTTCGGTGTTTATACACACAGCAAGTCGTCTCTCAATATGATGGCGCTCCACTTCGCTATCAGGTACGAGAATGACCCGCAGTGGAAGATCAATATTGCATGCCCAGGGCACAACTCCCGGACCGCCTTGAATGGATTCGCAGGAACCGAGCCAGTTGATCTGGGTGCCATTAGCTCTGTGAAGGCCGCCACTCTGGGGCCTGATGGGGAGACCGGTACATTCAAGGACGATAAGAGGGTTATCCCCTGGTGAAAACGCGAAGCAATATCTTCAGGTCCCAGGGTACATCGACATAGGTTACATTAGAAGAAGAAGCAAGTTCTCGAAATATGCAGTCGTTATATATAAACACTCTGAAATGGTATCCTCTGCATTATGTCATGCTCCAAGTCTAAATGCTTTGCATGCAGATGACATCGAATTTAACCAACGCCCTTGCCAAGCCATACCATTATGGACTTACTGGCCAGTTACCTTTCCTTTTCTTCCCATCCTTCGTGTCTGCCATCATAACCTAGCACTATGTTTTTGGATTCTTATTTTTTCGAAAGTATAAATGAAACTGAAACAATAAACATGGCGCAGGTCATCATCATAATTGAATGGAGCTAGATGATCTCCAACTTCAGGCCTCGCTGTGAGAAGTGCCTGGTCGTCCTTCCCAGAGCGCCTGTTCACGACGCATCTGTTGCCAACGATATGGCAATACAGCACTGCGAAGACCAACAGAATGAAGCCGGCGCTGGTCTGGTAAGCCGATAAAGCCAGCTGACGGCTGTCGGCGATGGAGGCCGTCTCGCCGCCACGTACCACTGGCGCTCTTGGGAGCATCCTCGGTGGGTGAGTGTTCTTGATCAGGGTCGCAATGGGCATTGAGATCGATCTCAAGGGTCAAAGCTGTCGAGTAACGGCGCTCGGGTAGTGTGGCAGTTCGAGGTCGGACTCGAGGTCGAGCCAGGGCGTCGGCGAACTCCGAGGTATCGAATGGTTTCCGAGGATAATCTTGTCCCTTCTCCTTCTCTTCTGACAAGGAAGAGAAGAAGTTGTCCGGGGTCAGTAGATTCTCCGGAGGGGCAGAGGCAATGGTGGGCATAAGGGTGGGTTCCTCGAGAGGTGTGGGCTCCTCAGGCGTCTTGGGTGAGTTGGACGTGACAATCTCGACATCTTCAGCTACCACTTCAGTAGGTTCGAGAAGGGTATCCTCAGGAACAGTTTCAAGAAAGTGAGTTACCATCTCAGGAAAATGTTCATCGGTCACATCCGAGTGCGGAATATGCTGCTCGTCCTTGCCAATGACATCAGCCTTGACGGAAGACTGATCGTCTGTCTTCTTGGAAGGGAGAGATGTGTTCTCAGTAAGCTCTGTTGCAGCTGGTGACTGAGCCTCGCGGTCTTTGGCATCACCCTCCATAGAAATGCCAGAATCACTAGAAGTAGGTGCTCCATTAGGCGCCCGAGACGTGATCACTTCTTGATCCTCCTCCACCTGCCTCAAGTCAGAAACCAAGGTCTGAATTAGGGTTTCCTGGCCATGTTCTTTCTGCGGATCATCACGACCAGCCTCATCAGTATCGGCGTGAATGGAAGGCGGCTTAGGGAATTCTCCAAGGACAGACGCCTCAAGTGTCTTCTGCGCGGCATCAGCGAGTGAAACTTTAGATTTCTCTGAAACGACAGGCTCAGCCTTAGGTGTTTGCACTTCAGAGTCATTGGACAGTTGGGCCTCTATTTGCTTCTCATCAGAAGGGCGCTCTTCAGTGGTAACTGTCACAGCAACATCAGGGGTAGAAATGTCCTTTGTCTCGGCATCCTCACGAATACTGGCTTCAGGGGTAGTTCCAAAGCTCGTTTCGGATTTTGAGTTGGCCTCGACTTCTGTTGGATTCTCGCGAGGTTTGTCTCTGGCCTCAACTGTCTCCCACTGCTCTTGGAAAGCCTGGTGGGTCTCGCCAGTGGCCTTCTCAGTGATGGCCTCGGCCTTTGTTTGTCCAGGTACGGGAACACCTAACCCGGGTACTTGTTCTGCGACACTCACGGTTGAGAGCTCTTCAGCCACCATTGCCTTCTGAAGCCCAGGTGTCACAGGGGCATGAGGCTGTGACTCTTGAGTTATTACTGGCTCGTGCTTCTGTGCCTCACGAAGGTGGTATGTGTTTCCAGAGAGGTCCGGCATACGGGTATCCAGGGATCGACGAGTCGCTTTCTTATCGGGGCTCTCAGCTGGCTTCTCTTTGACAAGCTGAATAAGCTCGTCATCGTCAGTGATCGGGCGGTGGAACTGTACCATTCCACTTGCGATGGCATCCATATCAGACTGCTCTTGGTAGATGATTCTTCGTCCATCATCTATGATACGAAGTCCCTCATTGGACTGATCATGGGGCATGGCCCGCGAGGGGGTTGCAACGACACTGTCTCGAGGGCTGAGGCTATCAGTATCCACCAGACTTGGAGTAGACGGGGGTTCGGACTGGTTCTCGTCGTCTGCCATGAAGTCAGACATATACCCATGCTTCTTGGCCATTTCAACACCAGAAGGTACTCGGCGCATGTCAGGTGACGGGGTCGCTGGTGCTGAGGGGCATTCAACGGGATCCCTCAGACTTTCCTTCGCGAGCTTCTTGGTGAGAGAGAGGTCAGATCGAGTGCTGGCCATGGATCCATGGAAGGATTTCTCGGAGGGTTGGCGAGGAAGCGAGGCAGCAAGCGAAGGCGTGGTTGGCGCTGCAGATGATGAACCAGCTGTAGAAAGAGGAGGCCTCATCAATTGGGTTGCTCCAATGGAAGATGCAGCTGATCCGCTTGTCTTTAGCCGCAAGTTTGGCAGTGTATCAGGACAGTCTATGGCACATGTGTCTCTACAAAGCATCGTAATATCTGAACGAATGCGTTCCTTTAAGTGAGCTTCGAGGGCTTTTCGCTCCAGGTCAGGTGTCGCAAATCTCTCGTGATGCACACTGTCATCGCCACCAGCACCGTCAAGGAAACCGTCAAAGATGAGATGTCCGCGCTTGTGAACGGTCATGGTAGCAAGAGCATCCTCATGATGTTCAAGGACGTTACTGATGCCAGTCTGAAGACGTTCCATGACAGCTTCCATGGTTTGGCGACAGTATGTAACCGTGGGATCGAGTCGAACGATGAGAGGCTCATGAACAGACCAGTTCTTTCCACGGAGCTCTCTGATGGTAAGAGTAAAGTCATCCAAGGACCGCACAGATTTGTCTGTCATATCGCGAGCTTTCTCCAGCTTCGCTTTGACTTGGTTGGCGAACTCGTCAAAGTCGCGACCATCGTGGTCATTGAAAAGAACCTTGCTTGTCTGGATACGGTGGGAGAAGTAGGTATAGTCAGGCCCAATATGATTACGGACCTTGACCATGATATCAACAGCTCCATCCTCGATATGAGTGCAGCCACCGCTGCCCTCCAGGCCAGCGCAAGACTTGTGACGCTTGTCAAACTTGCGCTTCCAGGCGTCAACTGGGTCTATTATAAGATTTGAGACACGGGTGGTCAGTTCTTCGCCGAGCAGGAGGGGTAAAGGTGAAGGCTGTCGGCTGTCAATCTTGATAGAAGCATTCCGGTTCTCTGGATAGCGCGTAGCGCAACGGCTGCGCAAGAAAAGCTCAATCGAATAGCCAGATACAAACTCGAATTTCTGCGTGTTGCTAACAAAATGAGATCGGGGGATGCATGCCATGGATTGAGGCCGGCCTGTGCACGGCCGGAAGGTCTCGGTCTCGGGGCTGGTAGTTTCGGACTCAACGGACTCGGACCATTGGAATCCGGGGTCGTGCCGCACTAAAAAGAGACCAATGATCCGGTCGGTAGCGGCGACAACCTCGCGGGCATCGTCATGTGTCAACTCATACTCTTGGAAAGAGCGCAAAGACTTTTCTACGAGAATAAGGCCATCACGCTCAACACGGTACGTGATGCGATAACGCAATGGCTTAACGTCACGGTGTGGTTTGCGGAGCGGGTCGAGAGCGTTACTATCGTGGCGTGTGATAAGCTCAGAAGAGCAATGCTGTAAGCGCGAAAGCAAAGCTTGGCAAATGCGATCGGTAGCTTTCAGCTGGGCTGAAGCTTCATAGTCGCGAACATGCTCTGAACTATGAGGGGATTCGAATTTGACCTGGACATGCACCCGGAGTCCAGGTTTGGCAACTTTCTGAGAAGGTGAAGGGGATGCTGGTGGTGATGGTGACGGCAAGGGAGGAATTGAGGACTGCGACACATCTGAGTGTCGGTTCCTTCTCCTGCTTAAGAGAGGGAATCGGCGCTTGGTACTTGACAGGGAGAAAGAGGGTGAAGATGTGACAGAATGGCCGTCGGCCGAGTTGCTTGACCTTCTGAGAGGCATGTTGGGCCGATGTCGTTGAAAATCGTTTCCCTAACTTTTCGTCTGCCGTTCAAAAGGGCGTATAAGTCGAGAATCTTGGTGCTCAATGGCACAGAGGGTCCATCGGGGACCGTGCTGTTGTATATTGGCGTCTTGAGGCAGTGAGATCGTCCACAGATACTGTCGATTGGCACCAGAAGACGCAACAGGGAAAGATGTCAATGAAGGAAAATATTGAAGCTGTGAGGTCGGGCGCAAAAGCAAAGTCCACGGAAAGGAACTCGGCGGCGGGGGTCACTGATTGCAACCTGGGAGTGATCGACTAAAGTGCAGGCGCAGGCGGAGTCCAGAAGTCTTAGATACTTGTCGGTAAGTCAGACTCAGACAGCAAGGTAAGTCAATGGAATGGATCAATGAGCGGCAGGGCGTTTCCAAGGATGTGTGTGCGTTGGCGCAAGTTGAATGGAACATCAACTGTGTCCGTATACGGTCAAAGATCCTATCCTGTGGTAGGCGTGTAAGTAAAGAGAAAACCTGTGGCTGGTCAAGCTAAGTAGTAGAAGCACTAATGCTCTATGAGGATCGCGAATAGCAAAAGATGGGTTTTCACTGGTGACTGTAAGGTGGGAGGGGGAACCGCATGCCATGGCGCATGAAGCACGGCGGGTCTTTTAAGGCTCTTGCTTGGTTTTGCTCGCCATCCATATGTGCTTCCGGCTCCCATGGATAATTGTCTTGGAGTTGGCACATGGATCGATTCTCTACGGTACTGTCTCTGACAAAGTGGACTGTCATCTTGTCATGATCCAACACATCTGTACCGGGACACGCCGGGCTAGAGGGGTCCCCTGATGTTGGGTCTTGTTGGACTCCGTATGTTCCTCGTAGGCAAAGGCTGGGATCATGCCACAGCCCTGGGCTTGGGTGGTGTCCATGCTTGGCTAGTAGATGCTGGATTCTGCCCGCTGAGATGAAGGGAGGTCAGAGACCCTGCTCTTTGCCTCTTAGAGTAATGGGTTGGTGGGCATATGCGTCTTGATGATAGCGATGGCGTGACGTTCCGTTTCTTTAATTGTCGATCAATCAGTTTCTAGGAATCTCGAGTTACGATGATAAGATGAAGTGGTTACGGATAGATTCATGTGGAAGTTTTTCATCTGACTACCTATCTCTACTTAGGCAGGTATGGATTTATGTACCACTCGACCTATTTCGATTTTTCTTTCCAAATTCCTTCCTCCACCCCCACCAAAATCGACATTTGTAAACGGCTACTAAGATCCGATAGTACCTACCTCCTGCATTTTCGTGCAAGTCATTATGTACCTCCACCAGGTATGGATCTTAGTGCGGGTTACCGACCTTACATCCCCTGGAAGCTGGAGGCTGGGTCCGAGCTTATGGCGCCTCAGTGGATACCTGCATCAGAAAACCTCCACTGCTAGCACTACAAAATCAACCATTTTAATCCTGGGCTGGCTAGGCTTCTTCTCAAATCTTTTTATCATTCGATAAGTGAGGTTTGTGAATGGAAATTTTCCAGGATGTAAGTTTAAACGAAGCCAGGCTCAGATCTGGGCTCGAGCTTGGGTCTGCCTGGGCACATACATCACCTCAGATCACTTTTTTATGACCTGCAGGAAGAGACGGCTCTTCCCCATCTTTGTATGTTCAGCTTCCTCGGCTGCAGATGAGTTATTGTACAGTACATGCTATCAAGGATGAGTGCAAAGTGAGGACATACAAAGCAAGGAAAGAAGGTTTTGAAGGATCCATGCAAGACGAATCCTTGCTCTCGGTTACGGACGCATTCGATATGAACTTGAAAGTCAGCTGTGGACAATCACAGACAGCTGACGTGCTGTACAGTACGGAGGAATTTCCATAATAATCCTCCAAGCTATCCTTGGGGTGAGATAATGCCTGAGCATATGACGGGTTGTCAGGCAATTCCGGGTTCAGCCAGCCAGGTCAGCCGTTAGAGTTTCTTATTCTGATTACGGCAGAGTGGTTGGCTGTGTATTACAATTAGGTCAACTGATATTCCCTTGGTTTCCCAATTTTTGACATCACAATCCCCGTTAGGCATCTGTGTCTGCTCGGTTTCGGCCACATCCTGTGCGAGTTTGTATATAGTCAGAGTATCAAAGACGAAACTGACCAATCACGGCTCAAGCCTCAAAAGTCGAGCCCCTACCCAGCACACCACATCATTCCACTTCAGGTGGCCACAATCAATATCAACCAGCTGAATGAACGCCTTGAAAAGTATCGGTTACCAGAGCATGAAGCAGCCATTGACGAGCGCCAGGAGTAGACAGCAGGCGATTCTATGGATGAAAGAATCATCGATCCATACGTGCAGCCCGTGCCACGTTTTTCGTTCTGTCTGTCTGTCTGTCCATGAATTGTTTTACCAACAGGACTGAAGCTTGTATGTTGGCCAACAGTTTGGCGACTTCGCTATCAAATGCCTATCGCGCGAGCGACTTCTGCCGAAATTCTGCGTCACGATCTGGCCACTCAGGATTCCGTTCACCATTGATTCTGGGTCTGCTGCCATCCAGCACGCAGAAGTCAGACCACGCTTGCGCAGGCATGCCAGGCTTCCCCGGCGGCATTTATGCACAGTACATACCTTACTCTGCATTGCATAGCGCAGTGCGTGCATTGCAGGACTGTAGTATTGACCCGGTTTATCAGAGTTGCCTCGCTCTCTAATGAGGCCCTTCCCGAGGCCTTTTCAGCTTCATCCAATTAGCAACAGAATATCCATGGATTTATGTCAATGTGTAGGTAGGTAGCACTGCAGCGCATGGCCAACATCGCCCATCTTCAACCGTAAATGTTACAAACGCTCACTCGTTGAAGGGCCTGTACATTCTTCACAAAAAGCAAACTGCATTTACGGAGTACATCATGATATTCTCATTCATCCTTGTCTTTCCTTTACCCGATTTTCTCCGTAATCTCAGATCAGCTTTCGTTGCCATACCCTACACTAATCCAACACCCTGCAAATACAATATACTAAATCTCTCATGATGTTAGTTGGACATGTATGCCATTTCAATTGCCTCGCTGCGAGCCCGAAGGCCTTCCACCACAGGGGACGGGTCCAGCCTTCAGTGTATATACATGCCCACCTATTGAAGTCCTCATGGATGGATGGATATGTGAACTGAATGAAACATATGCTCGGGGTTTAACCAGGCAAAATGAAAATTCTAATAAAACCTTTCTATCACAGATAGATGTCCCTTCCCTCCTTCCCTCCTCTTATGCGTAAACTGCCTAATTAGGTACCTTAGGCAATGCAACACCAACACGGACATCTTCAATAGGTACACAGCTCAAGTCACAGAGAGTTGGATATACAAACAATACCATATAAACAGCCAAAAAAAAAAAAAGAGCTGATAGGCGCTGGAGACATGCTCCCACCAGGGCTTGAACCTGAGACCTTCGCATTACCGTATACTCGGTTTGAAGTATTAGTACGACGCTCTAACCAACTGAGCTATGGAAGCCGATCAGCTGTGATTGTATGCAGACAATTCTTCCCCCTACATACAATCACACTTACACCGCGCCTCATTCAGATACATGAGTTTCTCCTCCGGATAAGCTCTTCAGGCTCGAATGTTTCCAGTATCCCCCCCTATATCTTCGAGGGCGTGTGATAGTTTAACCATCACCGACCACGATGTTTCCTCCAAAGCTTTGGCTATCATTGTCCAGTAGTGAACTTTGCGTTCTGGATCAGAACCCAGAAGTTGTTTCTTGACGGAATCAGTGATATATCTGACCCAGTTGGCGACAAAGTACCGGATAGTGGTCTCGAAAGTTGGCTCATCTGGAGGCTCATGGATGTCACCATCAGCCGCACCCCTAAGGTATTCAAGGACATCCATGTTCTGAGGAATAACCATGTTATCCCCTATCTGTTGGCAGATGTACAGCAGGAGATCGTCTTTTGTGGCAAACCCGAGTTCCTTTTTGACCTGCTCGGTGGTCTTACAACCACTCGGTTCTGGTCGGGTGTCAAACCTCTGCGCGTAATGAAAGTGAACGCAGGTGAGAGCTTCGGCGCATCATGGGGTTCTCCCCATTGCTCTTTTCCAGCTCAGGCCAGCATCAGTTTTCCCTGGGGATAAAGACTTTGGGAATGTGGCTCTCTCCGGGGAGTGTT